TCAGCATAAACATTTACATCTTCACTAGCATTTTTAAACCTTTTCCTATGCAATAATTATCTAATTTAATCATCTATTTTTTCCAGGAAATGGAAGGAACATTTATTAAAATTTCAGAATGGGGGCACACACATTTTGGTTACATAATTTGCTTTTGCACATTTTAGGTCAAAGTTATAAGCGTGCCCTTCCCGCAGAACATGTGCATTGCACCAGTTAGTTGTGAATTCAACCTCCTCTCCCCTCCCACCTGCTTGATTTCCTTTCAGTTTTGCTTCCATACACGTGCTTGAGAGTTGATCAACTAGTTCCAATTTAGTTATTGATTATTTAGCCCTTTATCAGATGTATAGCACGCAAATGTTTTTCCCCAAACCGGAAGGTGGCCAATTGCCCCGGTAAATGGGCCCTTGGCTGTGTAGAAACTTTTTTAATGTAATCAAGTCCTATTTGTTTATTTTTATTGTTGCCATCATTGCCATTGGGGTCTTCTTCATAAATTCTTTCTCTGGTATCTATAAGAATTTTTCCAACATTTTCTTCTAGAATTCTTATAGTTTTCTGCCTTATGTTTAAGTCTGTTATCCATTGTAAATTAATTTTTATGAGTGGTGAGAGGAACAGATCCTGATTCAGTCTTTTACCTGTGGTTATCCAGTTCTCCCAGCACCATTTATTGAATAGGGATTCTTTTCCCCAGTGTGTATCTTTTTGTCTGCTTTATCAAAGATCAGGTGTTAATATGAGGATTATTTCATCTCTGTTCTCTGTTCTGATTCATACGTTTTTCTCTATTTTTGTGCCAGTACCGTCCTGTTTTGATTACTATAGCCTTGTATTATAGCTTGAAGTCTTAGTAACATGATGCCTCCTGATTTACTCTTACTACATAAGGTTGTGTTGGCTATTCAGGGCCTTTTCTGGTTTTGTACAAAGAGTAAAACTGTTTTTTCTAGATCTGTGAAAAATGACATTGGTATTTTAATGGGAATTGCATTGAATCTGTAAATCACTTTGGGGAGTACAGCCATTTTCACAACTTTGATTCTGCCAATCCATGAGCGTGATCTGTTTTCTATTTACGTCTTGAATGGAAGGAATTTTTTTGAGCCTCATTCTGAGCTTTGTCTCATTTTCTCTTCATACCAACTTCATGAAGAAGATACCAGTATCATCCCACTTCACAGATGAAGAAACACAGAGTGGTTATGTTTCTTTCAAAGGTCAACCAAGAGATGAGTGAAGTTGTTATTCAAGTACAGGCTGTCTGATCCCAGATGCCACGTTCTTTCTAAACTTACAAAATTTCCCCCTACATGACATTTATATTTCATCATTGACTAACCAGAAAACAAGGTCTCTATCCCCTCATTTTATTTTCTTAACTAGACATGGGAAGTCTCTTGGAGAACACCTAGTGCTTTGGTAGATGCTTAATAAATCACACTTTGAAGTACCTCACAAATACAGTACTGAACACTAAATAAAGGCCAGTTTCCTACCTCCATGCTTAAAGGCCTCTCTCAAGTCCATCAGGTAAACAGCCACCTACACCCTAACTACTATGTATGCAAGCACGTGTGTCCATTATATGCCTGAGTAAGGAACTTTCTGCAAAGGTGGAAAGTACCATCTTTTCTAAATTTCACAAAATTGTGCAAAATCTCTGAAGAGAAGAATTAGCACTTTAAACCAACAAAGATAAATCATGGTGTTAGTATCACAAGGAGACATTTCATTTGAATTTAATAATAAATGTATTTTGTGTTCTTTTTGCTTAATTCTAAGCCAACCTTTTGCAATTGTTGGGGGGAAAAAAAAAACAAACAATGTCTAAATGGCAGCTGCTTTCTGTTCCAGGTGTGTGAATATCCTGATGGAACCAAGTCTTTGAAACTAGGAGACTTTGGGCTCGCCACTGTGGTGGAAGGCCCGTTGTACACAGTCTGTGGCACACCAACTTATGTGGCTCCAGAAATCATTGCTGAAACTGGGTGAGACTCCTGGTGGTTTTGATTAATACTTTGCTTTAGTGGGTAAAGGTCTGTTTTTGTTGTTACTGCTGACTGTGGTTCAGTGCCTCCTGTGAAGGTGGAGAGTGGAGGAGGGACACTGTAACTGGCTCCATGACTTTGACCTCAGGAACTAGAGTTTGTGCTTATCTAGCTGAGCCTAGGCCTGGCCTTTTGTTCCAAGGCCAATCTTGTGTTTGGGTTGGGAAAAAAACAGATGATGTTGCGCACAGGGTAATTAATTCTTCTACATAAAATGAAGAGTTTGACATCCCAAAGACCCTTTTTCCTAACAAAGGCAATTCTTAAGTCCTGTGGAAGGTTCCTAGGAGTTGTATCTCTATTTCTTCACTTCCCACCCACTTTGTTTTCACAGCTACGGCTTGAAGGTGGACATCTGGGCGGCTGGTGTGATCACCTACATACTTCTTTGTGGATTCCCACCATTCCGCAGGTCAGTGGCCTTTGGAGTGATCGTATTTGACTTGGAAATTTTCTTTGTCTAGAAGAAGATACTGTAACTCCTGGCAGTCAAGACCAGAAACTGGTTGGTTAAATAAAAATGTTAGGTAAAAATTACATACAAATCCACCATTTACTTTTTATAATAATTTACAACCTATTTATTCATGTATATTCATTTATCATATTTTGATGTGAGGTCAAGGCCTTTGCTCTGTGTATGGTCCTCTGAGTTTCTTGTGGTCAGTCTTTCTTAAAATATACCCTTAATACAGTGTCTACAATTTCAGTATTCTCAGTCTCTTTAAATGAGAGTAAGATTTAATAATTCTTAGGTAATAATCTGAATCTTTTCAGGTATACTTTTATCCAGTTCTTGATAATTACATCTCTTACTTAATTTGATGGCAGTTTTTTCAACTTCAGTTTTATATGCTCTTTCCAAAGCATTCAGTTTTGTTGTCAAGGAAACAGAAACTCTTTTCTTTTAAAATTCATTTTACTAGTTCACATGATATTTATTTAAGCAGTTCAATTACAAACACTTGGTGTAAACAGGGTTGAAAACAGACCAACTCTTGACCATACACCTCACCTGGGTGGGGGGCGCAATGTGGCCACAGACAGTGGTCAAGGTATTTGATGAGGGGCAGGGCACACTCATTAATCTAGCTGCCTCAGTAAGGTGGGTGAGTGAGGGGCCTGGGCCACAGCTCTGCATCTCCCCCTGTGGAGCAAGTGAATGACCAAGAAGCAGAAGTTCATTTAGGGACACATGTTTGGTTTTCTTTTGAGTGTTCTGGACCTCTCTTTTCATTTTAATCCCTTTCTATGTTCATTTTACAGCTATTTTTTGAGAGGTAACTATGTGCTAGGCACTATGCTGAATGCTGGGAATAAAGTGGTGAACAGAACAATCCCTGAGGCCATGATTTGTCTCAGGCTGTTATAAGAAAATACCATAGCTGGGCACAGTGGCTCACACTTGTAATCCTGTAACACTCTGGAAGGCTGAGGCAGGTGGATCACTAGAGCTCAGGAGTTGGAGACAAGCCTGAGGAAGAGTGAGACCCTGTCTCTACTAAGAATAGAAAAATTAGCTAGGAGTTGCAGGGGGTATCTATAGTCACAGCTCTCAGTAGGCTGAGGCAAGAGGATCACTTGAGTCCAAGAGATTGAGGTTGCTGTGAGCTAGGCTGAGGCCATGGCACTCTAGCCAGGGTAATAGAGTCTCAAAAAAAAAAAAAATTCCATAAATTTTGTGGCTTATAAACAACATAAATTTAATTCTCATAACTCTAGAGCCTGGGAAGTCCAACATCAAGGCACTAGCAGAATTGGTGTCTGGTTTGGATCCACCACCTGGTTCACAAACAGTCATCTTCCTGCTGTAACCTCACGTGGTGGAAGGGACCAGGGAGATCTCCGGGTCTTTTGTTAGGGCACTAATCCTATTTGTGAGAGTTCCACCCTTATGACCTAATCATGTTTCAAAGGCCCCACTTCCTAATACCTAAAACCATCACATTGGGGATTAGGTTTTGACATAGGAATTTTGGGGAGACCGAAACATTCATTACTGTGCCATAGTTTTATAGTGTTGTATTAAGCCAGTAAGTGAAAAATAGTTTTTTTGCTATGTTTTTGACCCATACTTTCAGGAAAACAATCTTTTGTTTCAATTCAAATTTTTGTTTGTTTATATTTAGGTACTTTTTTGTATTATAAAGGATTTTAGCGCTGATTTTTTTTAACTCATTATGGTACAAGAAATTTTATGTAACAAATAATAATGCATCAGCAGAATAGACAAAAGATACAAGAAATTTTATGTGATGGTAACAAATGGTACTATCCTTGTACAACACACATTTTTGTTTTTCCTTCAAAAATATTGACAAAGTGCTCATTATACGTGGCATAATATGGTATCTTTTTTTGTCTCAACATCTAATTATGAAAAGTTTTGAACATACGGAATATTTGAAAGGTTTATCTTTTAAAGTTCTGTTTTTTAATTGAGTTGAACAATTTTTTTTGTTGACAAGGCAGTAAGCAAAAAAAAAAAAATAACACAGATTATGGTGGAAATAGACACATCACAAGAATATTGATCAAGAATAAACTGATCGTGAAGGCATGCTTTGTTGAGGACCCAAATCATAAATGCTTTAACAAAAGATGTAGCATTGTGGGGGAGGACCTTGTGGTATAGTGGAGTTTTTATAGGTAGAAAGCTCTTTACATCTGGCTGCCTTTGTTACAGTCATCATCAAGGTCATTGCCCAGGTCATTGCCGATTTTAGGATTACTGCACATATCAGTTATGTGTTCCAGCTTTTGCTGGAATAAGAAACTACTCCAAAAGTTAAGGGTGTAAGACAATTCTGTGGATCAGTTAGGTCAGTGGGTCTCAACCTTCCTAATGCCTCCTAATGCTGCGACCCTTTAATACAGTTCCTCATGTTGTGGTGACCCCCAACCATAATATAATTTTGTTACTGTTATGATAACTATAATTTTGTTACTGTTATGAATCACAATGTAAATATCTGATATGCAGGATGTATTTTCATTGTTACAAAGGGGTCGCGACCCACAGGCTGAGTTAGGTGGTGGTTCTGGCCTGGGCTGGCTCAGTGAAGTCTCTGTGGTCTAGTCTGGCCTCACTTGCGTGTCTGGCAGCTCAGTGTGGGCTGAGACAGCAGAGATGAACTGACCACGAGCCTCTTGTCATTGGTGGGCTAGCCTGGGCTTCACATGCTAGTGGATGTAAGATTCCCCAAAACAGCCAGAAGGCAAGTTCTACCTCCGGAGCACTTTCTCAGTCTCTGCTCACCTCACCCTTGTTGATGTCTCATTGACCAAATCAAGTCAGATAGCTAAGCCCAGAGTGGGTGTGGGAGGAAAGGATGAGTGCAGGGGGCTGGGAGTAACTTGTGGCCAGGCTTACAATGTCACTGGGCCCGGCTGGTTTCAGTGATGGCCTGTTTGTGAGCTAGTCAAGTGTAGATGGGCAGTGTGTTTCGATAGCAGGTAATCCTGGGGCTGATTACAGCTGAGTTCCCTTCCCTGGGCGAACCCAGGTTGAGATCAGACAGAAAAGGGTATGGGGTATCAGTTTTAGAGGAATGTGTGCTCATGACTCCCTCTAGTGTTTCCAGTTGCCAATGCAGTCAGAAAAGTTTTTTTTTTTTCTTTGTTTTTTACTTTTTGAGAAAAGTAAAACTCAGACTGAACAGTGTGTATTGATTATGGCTTGTTATCAGGGCAGCAGCTTCCTTGTGAGATCTAGAGGCAAATTTGGCTAATCCAGAGCAGTGGGCTGCATTCTGAAAGCAGTTGCCCTCATGTTATATTCAGAAGCAGATCTTAGAACTCCAGGTAGCCTACTTGCAAAATTTAAGGAAGTGCATTCCTTTTTCATACCATATTGCAATGAAAGAGACTCTACAATGGTGAGCGCTAGTTACAGAAGCATCTTAATGGCATACAGTGGGATTCTGGGTAGATTTTATAACTTACGATAATATAAAAATATACATAGAAATTACAGAAATGGTACCTACATAATGATACTTTTGGTATAAAATAAAATAGATTCCTCACATAAATTTGTGGCTAAAAGTCCTTCAAACAAATATTTGAAAATATTTTCTTTGTTTTTTACACAAGACAACTTTAACTCAGATCTTTTAAACCAGAATAGTTATTTGACATTTACAGTTTTAGCTTCAGTGACTACAGCATCTCTCATTCTTTCTTCTTTTGGGCTTCTCAGATTTTTGCCTTAGCTTGAAATGTCCTCTCCCGCTAGTCCAGTGACATTCAAGTTTTGTTTTTTTCTCTGCTGCACTGATTATTATAAAAAAAATCTGTGCATACTTTTCATGATACCTGATGCCACAGATAGCAAAAAAAAGTCCTCACAAAATCAGCATATGTGCCTTCCAGGCACAGGTTGGACACCCCTGTCTGTTCTTTTCATTCTAAATAAGAGATTTGTTTTACAGAGACACTCAAAATTTTAGTTGTTGCCTAAGCAAATATACTCTTAGGGACACTGACAAAGATTAAATTAAGATTTTTGATATTTCTGACACACACACATACCCCCCATAAGTGAAGTTCGAATTTATGAAACAGTTCACAGCATTTCCGGGTGTCCTTTTCTGATCTTTAGTGACTTGTAATTGAACAGAGAGAATGCGTGTCTGTTGCTATTTTTTGAGGTTTTTCTTTTTTCAAATTTTTAATTGCTATTGGTACATAGTCGTTGTATATCTTTATGGGGACGCTGTGATGTTTTGATGTAGGCGTACAGTGTACCTTGATGGTGTCCATGACCTCAAACATTTATCACATCTTTGTGTGAGGAACATCCCAGTTCCACTCTTCTAGTTGGTTTGAAGTATACCTTAACTTACTATTGATTATAATCACTTGGTTATACTATCAAATACTGCTCATTCTATGTTTTTGTGCCCATTGAGGTTTTTCTTAATAGATATTTTTAGACATAACAGCTCTTTGCTCCAAGGACTATATTGTTTTAGAATTTAAAAGTTTCCTAAGGCATCTCAGCCAGATTAAAGTGTGATACAAAATTTTATGGAGACTTAATCAGAGTAGCTTTACTTATATGACTACCAAGAAGGATAGATGACCTTTAGCCTTGTACTCTGCCGGTGAGGGGCAGCCTCACTAGAACTGTACAAGTTCTTGCGTTTCAAAGCCCTTCTGGGTCCCATTCTGATCGCTGAGATACCTATCTAAGGCAATGATTCTCAGTGCAATGAGAGAATCTTAGGTGTGCCTTGAAAATTTTTAAAGTTTATTAATGAAGTTCAAAACCCAGTAAGTGTATGTTTTTACTTTTTTTTAAAATCAACATAATTTAAGTGTGCTGTGGATGTTTCACTATAGGTTCAAGTGTGCCATGAGTAAAAAGCGTTGGAAAACACTGGCCTCAGGTTTTGTTTGTTGACTGTCGGGATGTTTTGCCAGGAATCAACTGCTGTAAAAAAACATTTTGACACCTGGAAAGAAATGTGTGCTCACTCAAAGAAAATCCCCTTTCAGGAGAGTGAAAGATTGGTAGAGACCAAGTCTTATCATATTGCCCAGGGGGAGATCTCCTGGCTCTCCCAGTCGGGCAGCCTGACTGCCTCTCAGCGGGGCTCGTGTCCATACTCCACAGACCAGCAGACGTCCCTTCAGCTGGGTCTGCTTAAATGTCCTGGACGTTCACAAAGCTCTCACTCTGCTGTTTCTAACAGAGCAGGAATGAGGCAGCCACATCATTATGTAGCCCTAGGATTTACCTCTAGACACTGTGCTAAAGGGTCTGCTCCGAGGGCTCGCACCCCTTATTCCTCGTTGAGAGGGTTGGTAGCAAAACCCTCAAGGCTGAGTGGAAAAATTCCAGGGAGTGCTGCACACTTGCCAGCTAACACTCAACTTCCCCTCCTCGGTTTTGATCTTGATTCCAACCACCCATTATGGGGCCTTGTACCCTCCTGGAAAGCCAATCCTTTGTTCCTC